CATACACAAAAATAAACTCAAAACGACTTAAAGACTTAAAAAAATAAGGTTTGACACCATAAAACTGCTAGAAGAGAACATAGGTAAAACATTCTATGACATCAGTCGTACCAACATTTTCTTATCTTAGGTCAGTCTCCCAAGGGAATAGAAATAAGAGCAAAAATAATTTTAAAACCTAATTAAAAAACAAAAATGTGTAATATACACACAGGAAAATGAGGTCAATAGAAATTATCTCTGAGAGGATACAGATGCTCAACTTAGACTTCAAACCTATAATAAATAGCTTCAGAGAATGAAAAGAAATTATTTTTTAAAGAATTTATGTTTAATGAATTAAAAGCATGATGACAACAATGATTCATCAAATAGAAAAAGAGAGAATTTTTTTTTAAAAAAAGAAAATTCTGAAGGTGCAAAATATATCTGAAATAAAAGTTTACTTTATGGCAGAAAGTGAAGAAGAACTAAAGAGTCTCTTGAGGAGAGTGAAAAAACTTGTTTAAAACTCAGCATTCAGAAAACTAAGATCACGGCATCCAGTCCCAACACTTCATGGCAAGTAGATGGAGAAACAGTGGAAAATCACTGCAGATGGTGACTGCAGCCATGAAATTAAAAGACACTTGGCTCCTTGGAAGAAAACCTATGACCAACCTAGACAGTGTATTAAAAAGCAGAGACATTACTTTGCCTACAAAGGTCCATCTAGTCAAGGCCATGGTTTTTCCAGTAGTCATGTATGGATGTGAGAGTTGGACCTTTTAAAGAAAGCTGAGTGCCGAAGAACTGATGCTTTCAAACTGTGGTGTTGGAGAAGACTCTTCAGAGTTCCTTGGGTTGCAAGGAGATCCAGCCAGTCCATCCTAAAGGAAATCAGTCCTGAATATTCATTGGAAGGACTGATGCTGCAGCTGAAACTTCAATATTTTGGCCACCTGATGTGAAGAGCTGATTCATTTGAAAAGACCCTGATGCTGGAAAAGACTGAAGGCAGGAGCAGAAGAGGACGACAGAGGGATGAGCTGGTTGGATGGCATCACTGACTCAATGGACATGAGTTTGAGTAAGCTCTGGGAGTTGGTGATGGACAGGGAGGCCTGGCATGCTGCAGTCCATGGGGTCGCAGAGAGTCAGACACTACTGAGGGCTGAACTGAACTACAGGGGCTGAAAAGCTGATTTCATCTGATAGAAGACAAAAAATGAAGTCTAATAAAGCACAGTTTTCACCAGTCATTAATTTAGTTGTCATTTTATACTACCAATGTTAAGTCCCACAAGTCTTAAGGAATCTCAAAAAGGATAACAAAATGTAAAGGTATTAGTGCAACACTAAAGTAGAGAAGTAGTGTAAAGTAATTAGCCTCCAACTAATAAAAATAAATGGGAAAAAAAAAAGTAGAGAAGTAGGAGTCGATCTTAAATGGCAACAGAGAAATGCACTAAAACTTCTTTATTTAGATTCAATTTGATTAAAATTCAACAAACATTTCTTGAACAACTGCTATACACTGTGCTAGATACTAAAAATATAAATTTAATTCAACAAACTCAGCAATATGACAAACATTTACTGGAAATCCACAATGTGACTCCAAGATGCCAGACACTATACTAGATGCTAAGGAAAAAAGATAAATAAAACTCAAATGGAAAAAAGGTACCTTCAAAGAGTTCAAAATCTAACAGAGAATACAATTTAATGTGATAAATAGAATTTTTCAAATGTGTATAAACTTGAGGGAAAAGTTGCTAGTTGGATGATACTGAGGGGGGAAACACAGAAGGCTCTGCCAAGTAGATGCTACTTGAGCTGGATTTCAACTGGGAAGAGGTGAGACCAGGCAAATGAAATAGCTCGTACACGGGCTACAATAATAGGAAACAGTAGACTAGTTTGGGAAATGACAGTCACCTGCACTGGAGCATGAAACAAGTCTGAGAGGAGTTGAGGTTGGAGAGGTAGTCTACCGTACTAAACAGCTCAAACTTTATCCTACAGAGAATAGAGTCACTACACAGACTTAAGGAAGGTTTTCTGGAGAAGGAAATGGCAACCCACTCCAGTGTTCTTGTCTGGAGAATTCCATGGACAGAAGACCCTGGTAGGCTACAGTCCACAGGGTCAAAGAGTCGGACATGACTGAGTGACTAACACTTGCACACTCACTCTCTCTAAGGAAGGGTTACTGCTTTTGTTTCAGAACAGTGATCTTGTGTGCCAGTTTTAACTAGGGGTAGATGATCCAAGAAAGAAGGAAATCAAGTAGCTCTAAGGCTGTGAAGGTGGAGAGGACAATTCTGAGAGTCAGAGATGGAAGACAATCAACAAACTTCGTGATCACTCCTCACTACATTAATATGCACCATGAAGCACTTCATCCAGACAAATGCTGATACTGCAGTTTGCTTCTGGAAAACCCTGAGACAACTCAATAATGATGCAAAGGACATTAGCCTGGAAAGCTAAGGAAGGGAGTGAAAAGAATAATGGTTTAGTTTTAGACCAACTGAATTTGAGATGCCAGTCAGGTATGCATGAGCTGCTGATAAGCACTGTATGCAGAAACCAGAATTCAAATTCTGGAGAGAAAACAATTCTGTGAATAATTATACAGGAGCGATTAAGACAAGGAAGTCTAAAAATGGCCTGGAGAGAGAGTGTAACATAGGAGAAGTCCATTGGCAGGGCATAAAGAAAACCACTAATTTGGCAAACTAAAATCAGTACTTCCTCTCCTCTTCAAAATCATTTTTTAAAAAAAGGCAGGAAAATCCCACCATTGATGAAGCTAAGAGACATCTGAAACCACAAAACAGATGGGAAAGCTGCCAAAGGGTAGATCAATCAGGGATGTGGGAGGAAACAGCAGAGAAAATCCCCACTCAGGGCTGCAGGCACAGAAACAACCATCAGGCACATTCCTCCCAGGTGAGAGGGAGCCACTAAAAGGTCAAAGGAGACATCTCCACAGTTCAAGTGGGGCACACAAACTGGTGGAGAGAGATTCTTTGGACCAGATTTGGTTCCAAGAAGCAGAAAAGTCCAAACAAACAGGAAATCACACAGAGACTCCATATTCATAGAAAGCAGACTCTGTGGCTGGCAGGGGGAAAAAGAGAAATGCATAGTGCAGCCTACAGGAAATAGGGAAATGTAATAGCTAAAATAAGCTCCCCACACACAATCATGAAAATCATGAGAAAAATTCCAGTTGGCTTTGTACACAGCCCAAAAATAAAAAGTTGTGCATATGAATAAACTTATCTATGAAATAGAATCCGCCTGCAATGTGGGAGACCTGGGTTTAATCCCGAGGTTGGGGAGATCCCCTGGAGGAGGGCATGGCAACCCACTCCAGTACTCTTGCCTGGAGAATCCCCATGGACAGAGAAGCCCGGTGGGCTATAGTCCACGGGGTCACAAAGAGTCGGACACGACTGAGTGACTAAGCACACAGCACATGAAACAGACACAGATGCTCAGACACAGAGAACAGACTTACCGCTGCCAAGAGGGGCGGGGTGGGGGGAAGGACTGGGAGCTGGGGACTAACTATGCAGACTATCACATTTAGAACGGATAAACAACAAGGTCCTACTGTATAGCCCAGGGACTATGTGCAATATCCTGTGATAAACCATAATGGAAAAGAATGTATATAGACTTGCATAACTGAATCACTGTTGTACAGCAGAAATGAATACATTGCAAATCACCTAAACTTCGATAAAATAAATCAATAAAAAAGGAATTTATGCATTAAAATATTCACTAAGCACTGCTTGTACTATTGAAAACCTAAAACCAATGAAATATCCATCAATCAAAAAATGAATAAATTCTGATATTTACCTAAGAATAGACTACTACAACATGGCTGAAAGAAATGAACTAGAAAAGGAAAAAAAAAAAAAAGAAATGAACTAGAGTACATATAGGGAGAAGGACATGGCAACCCACTCCAGTATTCTTGCCTGGAGAACCCCAGGGACAGGGGAGCCTGCTGGGCTGCCGTCTATGGGGTCGCACAGAGTCGGACACGACTGACGCAATTTAGCAGCAGCACCGGCAGCAGAGTACATAGATGTAACCAAATCATTAAGTCAAAAATACATTGTTGAACAAAAAAAAAGTAAGCTGCAGAATGGTCCAAATAATATGATGTCATTTAAATATAAAACGTCATTTAAAACCATGATCTAATCATACGTAATAATAGCATAAAACATAGATGGTAATAATAAACACCAAATTCAGAGCAACAGTTATCTCTGGAGCTGGAAGAAGAGAAACGACACCTGGGAGGGGCACTCAGGGACTTCCAATGCATCTGTGATATTCCATTTCTTTTCCAAAAATCTGAAGCAATTACGGCAAAAATATCAGGATTTGATGGACCTACGTATGCATTATGTTATCCTCTGCAAGCCACCCTCTATGCTGCTTTTGGAATCCAGCCACCACACTGAAAGGAATCACAACCTAGTCCACATGTGGTGACCTCACAAAAAGGCCTGCGTGGACAGGAATCCAGATGGCCAGGCTCCACAGCCAGCCTCTACTACCAGATGTCTGTGTGATCAAGCCTTCGGAAGATTCCAGCCCTAGCTTTTAAATCCTCTCGCTGGAGCCCCCAACATCACAGAGCAGAGAAAAGGTGTCCCTAACATCCAAATTCCTGCTTCACTCCTAAGCATGAATAAATGCTTATTTTATGCCACTAAGTTTTAGGATACAATTTATTACAAAGCTAAAAAGAACACCCAAATGTTACAGTGAATTGAAAAGAAAAATATTTGTATATATATGTGTAACTGAATCACTCTGCTAAGCAGCAGAAATTAACACTATAAATCAACTATGCTTCAATAAAATTTAAAAAAAGAAAAACATTTGTGGTGCCCAGCATAAGGCCTCAGTCATGGATGCTAAATTTACAAAGCCGCCAACAGCTCCAAACGTACCCAGTTTAATAATTTATAGTTTCTTACCTCCAAACTGCCAGAGTGTGCTGCCCAATGTAAAGGGGTAAATTTATGGAGAACATCAACTTCGTTAATGCTGGCACCACGTCGTACGATTTCTGAAAGTTGCTTTACATCTCCGGCACGTACTGCATCGTGTATGCTACCAAAATGCACTTTCTTCCTGGCACCTACTGAAAAACCAAATTGCTTAAAATATACTGCAAACCTAAAAAAAGACTAAAGCATTGATATATGTAATCTATCATGCATAGAGTAGGTAACTAGTGGAAAGCTGCTATATAACACAGGGAACCCAGCCTGGAGTTTTGTGCCGACCTGGAGCGGGGAGGGAGGTTTAAGAGGTAGGGGTATATACAAAAATAGAAGTCTGACTCATTCGCATCGTTGTTCAGCAGAAACCATCACAACATTGTAAAGCAATTATCCTCCAGTTAAAAAATAAATTTAAGATAAAAAAAAGACTAAAGCAACAATTGAACTGAAAGTACAAAATCACTTTGGCTTTCCAAATAATTTACTACAAAGATACTCATGAACAACATCTTAATCAGACTTCACTTTCGGCTCTAATATGTAAAGAGCACAGAAGTCATCACCTACATTCATACAGGAAAAAAGCTGAACAAACTGAAAATCAACAACTTTTCTTAGACTTATCAGAAGTCAGGTCTCAGGGCAAACAGCCACCCTAAATTTGGAGAGAAAGGTCAAGAAAAACGTGGTCAAGTTCAGCTCATCTGGAGCAGAAGCCACTGGAACCACAAACTTCCTAAAACACTCAAGTGATAATTTTGACAAACTGCTGGGGACTGGGTATGTACTAGCCTAAGAGTGAGAAACTCCTCAGGGCCATAGTCTTACGAGGCCCCCTCATTTTCAAAGATTTTACCTTCAAAACTCCACCAGGTTATTACTGTGAAAAACAAACAAAAAAAACTCGCTTCATGTCTTTGGTAGAGACAGGAGAGAGGTGACCATCTGGAAACCTGCCCAGCTATTCTCTGTAACAAAAGCCTCTTCTCCAGTGGAAAAGAGTTAACCAGAACCTTATCTCACAGGGGCAGATACATCTTATCAATGTTTTTCATATCTTTCTCATATATCCTACACTAAGAAAGGGATGGCAAGTCACAACTTTTACTTCATACACGAAGTGACATATTTTATAATTTTATGTTCCAAACATCAAGACTGCATTGTCAGCCCTACTGTTTCATGAAATATCTTAACGTGCATTGTGAACCAGAAGCACCAAAAGTATCTAAGCATGAACAGACAGTAGTTGGAGAAGGAAGTAAATAGTTCAAATCAGTTGACAGCTGAAATCATTTCTTATACCAAACTGTTAACAAAATGCTATGCATTTTACTCAAAAATCCTTTCTGAGCATCTACCATATGCCAGGCACTATGATAATACAATGAACAGACATGGATTTTAGACATTTTCTTTCCACAGACGGTTTTAAAACTACTGGGATAAATAAATATTCGACACAATAAAAAACCTGACAGTAACATCCTAAGAGTACAGGTGAAATAAAGAAGGAAGAGGAGGCAACAGTGGAGCAAGTCTCTGAAGAACAATTGAGATATATGCATCCGGGCAAGGGAATAAGGAACCACCCCACAAAAAAAACAAACTACTTGGTAAATGTTTAATGATGTTAATCCCCCTAGGTCAGACCTTCATTATTCTCCTTTATTTATTTTTTTTTTAACTTTGGCATAAGGGTTTGTATTTGGTTCTCCAGATGAGCAGCGGGGCATTAGTTCCCTGACCAGGGACTGAATTCACGCCCCCTGCAGTGAAAGTGCAGAGCCTTAACCACTGGATCACCAGCGAAATCTCCATTATTCTCCTTTAAACAAGTACTGCAAGATCTACAAGTGACATTCTACCCATTTTAATCCATTTTATACAGGACCACTCTAATCCAAGGACGCATGGACGCTATCTTGATCACTTCATGCCTCCACACTCCAAACTGCTTCTGGTTATCCAAGGCTCATCTAGAGACTCTCAGTATGACGGTCTACGCCTTCCCATAACTTACAGAGTGCTAAATTGCTTCAGTTGTGTCTGACTTTGTGACTCTATGGCTGTAGCCCTCCAAGCTCCTCTGTCCATGGGATTATCCAGGCAAGAATACTGGAGCAGGTTTTCATGCTCTCCTGCAGGGGATCTTCCTGTGTCTCAGGGATCCAACCCGTGTCTCATTATGTCTCCTGCATTGGCAGGTAGGTTCTTTACCACTAGCACCACCTGGGAAGCCCTCCCATAACTTGCCTCCATCTAATTTCACAACCTTTTTTCTCACCACATGCCATTCCAGTTTATTCATTCATCCACTCAACATTAATCTGGTATCTATCATAAGTATAAAAAGATTAAAAAGACATTGTCTCTATCCTCAAGGAACTCACAGAGATATACAAATACAAATTACAAAACAATGTAGTAAGAGCAACAACAGAAATATTCCTAAGAACTTATGGAAGCAAAAGACTTCTAACTCAGCTAGGGTAGGAGGGAAGGAGAGCAGAAAAGGGTTCCTAGAAGAGGTTAACACCTGAGATGAATCTTCAAGGGTTAGCAGGACTTTGCCAGGTGAAATGCATGCAGGGAAAGGCATCCTGGACAGTTCAAGAAACTATAAAAATACTCACCCTACTGTGGAAGCATAAAGTTGAAAGGAAAAGAGGCTAGAATTAGACAAGAGGCAGGCTGTGCTGGAACTTGTTGGACTTGAACAGATAGCGGGGAATCATTAAAGGATTTTAAGTAGAGGAATAAGAATGATCAGATGTGTAACGCTGGCTGCAGTGAGGGGAGTTAATGGACTGGGGAGCAAAAGGGCAAGAGTAGAGACTCAAGGAGACCATGTGGGAAGATATCTACAGGAGTCTTCAGCAGAGAGGTTGAGACCCTCAACTAAGAGAATGGCAGTAAGAACAGAAAAGGAAACAGATTCAACATATATTACACAAACAGGATGAAATGAACTTGGAGGGATTTGGTGTGTGAAATAAGGGAAAAGTAACAGGACAACTCCAAGGTGTGTGACTAAGTTACACAAGTGGTATAGTGCCACTATACACTAACAGAGACAAACAACACTAAAGGACAGAGAGGACATAATGATAAAAAATCATATTTTGAATGTGTTGATCTTGAGGCACCCAAGGAAGAGTTCCACATGGGAGCTGTACACGGGAAGTCTGCAGCTCCAAGGAGAGGTCTTGAGCTGAGCTCTCAGGGTTAACTGTGTCTCAGTAGTAGGCAGCTTTCTCTGATCCCCAACCTCACCCCACACTGGAGCCAGGGGCCCTCTACTCTTCCTTGTAACATTCATCACACTAGTAATTACTTGCTCAGTATTTATCTTCCCCCAGTAGGAGGAAGGAATGTGTTTGTCTTCCTTGCTCACATATCCTTAAGAAAAAGCACATAGTAGACACTCAATAAATATTTACTGGATGACTGAATGAATAACAGATTCAGAGGTCCTCAATAGGGTTGAAGTCATAGTACATAACAAGGAAAAAAGCACTATCCAAGAAAAATTCAAAAAGCAACATTTAAGGAGAGGATAGAAGAAAAGTCAGGATGGAAGGATGGATGGGTGGATAGCTAGCTAGCAAGACATACAGGGAGAGTCAGGAAAGTGGAAGGAAGAAAATTAGGTGAGTCTAATATCTCTAGGGCTTCCATGGAATCCGCCTGGCCAATGCAGGAGACGCGAGTTCAATAACCTGCTTCGGGAAGATCCCCTGGAGAAGGGAAATGGCTACCAACTCCAGAGTTCTTACCTGGGAAATCCCATGGGCAGAGGAGCCTGGCAGGCTACAGTCCACGGGGTCGCAAAGAGTCTGACATGACTTAGCGACTAAACAACAAACAAATACTATTTACACAGAGTCAAATGCCGCAGAGACTCCAAGAACTTAAAAGGGTCCATAAATTTTAACAAGAGTTGCTATCATCTAGGAACGAAGTCTCAGGAATGGGCGCAGATAGGCGCCAAAAAAAGAGAGTAAGGAAAGCTGAAATGAGGAAGGAGAGGGGCCAGATGACCAGATGAGCTTTGGGACCCACTGTAAATAGGTCAATTAAGGGAAAAGAGATGAGTGACAGGTGAGAAAGGGAAATGCCAAGAAAGGGCTGGAGTGAGAAAAGTGGAGTGTGGCAGAGAGACAAGGGCCAGCGAAGCGATCCGACTCACACGGGGTCGCAGTCTCCGTGGAGGTGGTGGACGGGCCTGAATCGGACACCCCGGGCATGGTGCGGCGACTCGGACTCTGGGGGGGCGTCGAGTCCAGGCCCCCGCTACTGCGGCGGTCTTCACTCGCTGTCACCCACGAGCCACTGCAGCAGCGGCTGTCTACCTCGTCGTCACTAGGCCCAGGGCCGCCGTCCTCCGTCGTCCTCCCCCAGGAGGCCTGGCAGCGGGAACCTTCGTCCTCACTTTCCCTCTCCCAGAAGCGGCGGCGGCTGGCGTCTTCGCTGACGCTCACCGCGGAGGAGTCGCTGGCCAAGTAGCCGCGGTCTTCACTCACCCCTTCCCAGGAACTGCTGAGACTGCGGCCGCCATCCACACTCGCGCCCTCCCAAGAGCCACTGAGGCGGCGGCGGAGGTCGTCACTGTCCCTCTCACCCGAGTCGGTGGCTCGGGGGCCCCGGACCTCCCGGACTTCCTCCCAAGTCCCGCTGAGGCGAAGGCCGCTGTCGTCTCTGATAGATCCCGAGGAGTCACTAGTCGGGTGGCTTCCGACTTCACTGAAGCTCGCGTCGTTGCTGAGGCCTCCCCTCAGTCTCTCCCAAGAGTTGCCGAGACGGTGGCTGCCGTCTCCCCTGACTCTTCCCTCAGAGACGCTGCGGCCGTGGTCCAGGTCTTCGCTGACCCTTCTCGAGTCATCGCGGGAGAAGCCGACGTCTTCACTTCCTCTTCCCGTCGGTACCCGGCAGCGGCGGTCGCTCTCCTCGCGGATTCTTTCTCTGTCTTCGCTAAGACGAGAGCCCTGGCCCTCGCTCACTGTTTCCCTGGACGGATCACCGCGACGGCCGTGCCGGCCGTTTATCCTCCACACGCGCTGGCTGGTGCGGCGGCCGCCGTCTTCGGTTGCTACTCGGCGCGACACGCTGTGGCGGCGGCCGCCGTCGGCGAGCACCTGCTCCACCGAGTCGCTTTCCAGCGTCCCGACACCTGCTACCAGGTTGGAGCTGGGGTCGGGGGGGGAGCGGAACCGGCGCCCTGGAAACGGGTAAACTTCCGGCGTGATGCGGTCATTTCCGGTTCGTCGCTGCTGTGCGTCACTTCCTGCTTCCTTGCCCTTTCTTTTTTTTTAAAGTGCTCTTTATTTTTTTTCGAGGCGTCCCTTCTAGACATGGTGGTGTGGAACGGGTTTCGGTGAAATGGCGCTGGGCCTCACGTCCAGCCTGTCTCGGCCTCGTCTCTATAACGGTCTAGCATCGGTTGCGCCCGCCAGGGCTCGGCGACGCAGGTGGGGAGGCTCCGGGACTGCAGTCGGCGTCCGTGACCCGAGTGTGTACCGCGAACCGGGCGGGGCCTTACATCCTCTGGAAACCTAGTGTCCTTTTTCGGTGCCGGTTGGAGCGTTGGAGAAAATATATTCTTACCCTGTCATAAGTACGGACAAAAGACCTAATGGAGAAGTTAAGCGGCTGCAGCCCTGTCGTATTACTGTGTGTGCCCACTGCCAGCCTCTTTGATAATCGCTTGGTACTATTTCTCACACTAATTTTGTAAGGTAGGTGTTATCCCCGTTTTACAGATGAGAAGATTCGAGGTATAAGTAATTTATTAAGGCCATGTAGCAGGTAAGTTGCAAAACCTGTGTGAAAAGAGAGGTCATCAGTCAAAAGACTGCACCAGATCTCCTGATTCCCCAGATTTCGTTTCACTGTAAAATGGTTTCTTTGAACAGTTTGTCCCAGATCTTTCTCTGCAGTCCAGTTGCTTAACGTGTGTTCTTCCATTCGTGTTTATAGCAAACATAGGTCAGGTGTTGTGCTAGCATCTGAAAATACAGAAATTAGAATTCTCTGCCCTCCAAGGGCATCACACACTTTGATTCTCCTCTTACCGTGTTTTGTTGTTTTTTTTTTTTTTTTCTTTCCCCATCCTTAACTGCCTTGCCACAGGTTTTGTTTTGTGAACACAATTGGGAAATTCCCCTGACCCTGCCTTTTCTCTCTTGAAATATAGTAAATGCCTTTCTTTACCTTTCATTGCCTCTTGTGATAATAATAACGTCCATTCCTTGAGTTCCTATGATGTGTTTAACCTTTAATATACCCTACCAGGTTGGGTATTCCTGTTCCTTTCTACAGATAGAGAACTTTAACGCCATAGTTAATTTTTGAGGGTACACAGGCTCAGACAGTAAAGAATCCGCCTGCAGTGCGGGAGACCTGGGTTTGATCCCTGGGTTGGGAAGATCCCCTGGAGGAGGGGATGGCAACCCACCCCAGTATGCTTTCCTGGAGAATCCCGTGCACAGAGGAGCCTGGCGGGCTACAGTCCACAGGCCGCAAAAAGTCGGACTGAGCAAGCCCCTGAGCGCAGCACAGCACACACAGCTAGTAAGTAGTGAGTCCCCGCCTGTGGTGTCCAACCCAAGTCTTGATTTTGCTGTGCATCCTCCTCAACGTCTCTGAATTCCCACAGCCTCTATTAGACCAGGTATCCCATTGTTTAACAGTTGGTGCTCACTCCTACCCTCTAGGTACTCTGACCTGGCAGGTAAGAATTATATCATTAGTTCATCATGGCATTCCTAACATCTAGAATGCCTAGTTCAAGGGACGTGCTTTCTAGCTGTTGTTTGGGTGAGTGAGTGTGTTGATATTTGGTTGATTGTCTGATAAATGAACTAGTAGATTGAAAATAAATTTTTTCAGGGACTTCCCTAACAGTCCAGTGGTTAAGATTCTGCACTTCCCCTGCAGAGGGTACCGGTTTGAACCCTGGTTGAGGGACTAAGATCCTACTTGCTGCTCAGCGAAGCCAAAAAAAAAAAAAATGAAAATTTTTCAGTTGGTAGGGAATTTGAGATTAGTCAGCCTAGTTCTCTCATTTTTGTAAATGGGGTAACTAAGGCCTTTTGTCTTATCAGATATCTATTGAGTTAGTAATATGGGCCAGTTCTAATGCTAAATGATTTGTAAATAGTCTTAAACTTAATCTGTATATCATTTCTATTTTTGCAGGTGAAGAAACCAAGATTTGGCCAAGATCACATAGCTAGGTGGTAGGGAGTTAGAACCCACTATGACTGACTCCAAATGAATACAGTGTTTGTAGCCACATTATAATAATCGTAAAGGCTTTTGTTTTTGCTCTGTTGTATGGGTAAACACACTGAGGGAATAAGGCAGCACATTCTTAAAGGATATACATTCAGTGGAAAGAATCAGCAAAGGAAACAGAAGCCGAAAAAGTAAAACCTCCCAAAATAAACTTAAAAGGAATTAAAGATAAAAGCAGAAATTTATGAAACAAATTGATCATAATAGTAGCTGGTGTTTGAAAAGAACAAATAGCAAGTCTGAGGAAGAAAAGGAAAGAAAACAGGAACAAGGGGACCATATTACAGATATGAGGGACTTTGAAAACAGAAGTGAATTATTTGTGTCTCTGCTCAGTCACTCAGTGTTGGCCAACTCCTTAGGGCCCAGTGAACTGTAGCCTGCCAGGCCCTTCTGCCCATGGAATTTTCCAGGCAAGAATACTGGAGTAGGGAGCCATTCCCTTCTCCAAGGGATCTTCCTGACCTAGATATTGAGTAGTCATTGCAGTACTTTGTAAATTAGAAACTTGAATGTACATCAGGGAAAGAATGGCTGGATAAATTACATTATATTCATATAATGAAATATTATATGAGGAGAATTGCAGCTCTCCATGCATTAATCAAGATGAAAATAGTTGTAAGACAGTAAATGAAAAAGGAGGCAAAATCATAGGTATGTGATCTCATCTAATTTCTAAAAATTACTTTGTAGAATTTTCCAAAGTTTGGTAAAGATCTAAATTGTTAAATCGGTGACTATTTTATAGAATAATGAAAAGCAACTTTGTTTTCATCTGGTATCAATTTTTAATTTTTTAGATATTCCTAAGTAAAATTAAGAAGCACAGGAAAACATGCGCTGTTACATAAAGCAAAAGATACTTTTAAGAAGTGTATGAGCCAAGAATGATTAAGAGGACGCTGTTTTTAGCAAGGAGTCACTGATAATATTAAGGAGAACAATTTTAATGAAATAGGCCAGCTATATAAAACTCCACAGGATTTCAAGGTAAGTGAGGGGCTAACTGAAGGAAGTTTCTCAAGTGAAACACGTTTCAGAACACACTGAAGTGGGTATTGGCATTCCAGAGAATCAGAACCCTTTATAAGTAGGAACTAATGTGGTTACAAGTAAAATGGGGTATCTCATTTTTTGCAAAGGTGGGGTGATAAATCAGGTTGTTCCTCTGATCCTCTGTAAACTAGCTCTTTCCATCTAGTTCTACAGGAGGGAGTAGGGCCAACCCCAGGGCAAGAATTAAATGGGTTTTGGAAACCATCTCTGCTTTCTGCCTTTACACCCTCTTGGCTTCCTTTTGGTGCTCCCCTCTGAACCCTCACTGGGATGTGCCAAAGATGCTTCTTTGCTCTTATTCTTTAACTTGTCCTTCCCCACCTGCCCAGCAGTGCCCATTATTTCAGAGGGCTGACCCCATACAGTAGAAGTTCAGGCTGTTCTTGACAGCAACCTGATTTTCCATCTCCACCTCCAGACTGCCTCCTCTCTAGTCAGCTAGATCTTTCCATTTGCAGACAATGTCTGGATGCCTTATTCTGTGTATTCTGAATAAACCCATCAAAGCATTCACTGAATGCTAACTAGGCTGTAAAGAAAGCCATCCAGGAAAATATAATGAGAATCTAAAATTGTCTATTTTAGGTTGAACTATTCTGTGAGAAACTTCAGTTTTTTTTAATTGAGGTATATTCGCCATTGAGTGTTAGATGCAAAACAGTGATATACACAGTTTTTGTGGTAAGGGTTATATTCATTGTCCATGTTGGTTGGCCATATTCCTCGTGCTGTACAATATTTCCTTGTAGTTTACTTTATACACAGGTGTTGTACCTCTGAATCCCTCCCTCTTACCTTGCTTCTCCCCCTTCCCACTTCCCCACTGGTAACTACTAGTTCTTTATTTGTAAATCGTTGTTGCTGTTGTTATTCACTAGTTTTACCTTTTAGATTCGACACTTGATATCATTCAGTATTTTGGTATATTTTTAACATATAATGAGGTCCTTATTTTTCTCCCCAAAGCTTATTGTTAGCTGAATAACAAATTACTTTGTAGTGTTTTACAGAACATGAAAGTTGGAAGTTAAAAGTAGGTAAATTATGTCAAAATCAGAGGATATCGTAAAGAGGGTATAAACAATGAAATATTCCTTTTATTTCTCCTCACAAACTTCCAACTCTTATTTCAAAAGACAGTACTCCAGGAACTTCCCTGGCAGTCCATTGGTTAAGACTCTGTACTTTCACTGCAGGTGGCACAAGTTCTGTCCCTGATCAGGAAACTAACATCCTGCATGCTATGAGGCAGGACCAAAAGAAAAAAAGACTATTCCATCTTCCTGGGGCCTCCTTTTGCTTTCCTTGCTATACTGTCTTGTGTAGAGTAATGGTTCTAGTTCCTAATGGTATGTGTTAACTGTTTGATTTTCTTAACAGGCAAAAAAGGAGGTGCTGCTGATTTCCAGATCAGTTGTCAGATCTGGCTGTTTACTAGAATTAACTATACAGCTTTTTAATTGGGATGTAATTGACATAGAACATTGGTTTTGGTATAACTGGAGCTTTTTACTTATTAGAGGTGTTTGTGAGAATCTACTAAATAAGACTGGAGGTAAGCAGTCTCTTAGCATTCACCATGATTCTAATGCACAGCCAAGTTGACGGGCCATCCTTCTAAGTCACTGCTTGACACCTACATCAAAAACTAGGAACTGAATTTTCAACTTCACCTGCAGATACCTGTGAACATCTAAGAGAAATACTGTCCCTCCTCCATTCCAAGTCCTCTTGTGCTATTATCTCTCTTTCCAGCTGAGACTGGGTCAGTCTGTCTCTCCATTGAGTTCCGTTAGTAAACTAAGTGCTAACATCTGTTTATATAACTAAATCTCTCCAGTTAAATTTCATAGAAGAGCAGCTCTTTTTGTCACCTCTCACCCATACTCAACTGTTGTTCAGTCAGTAAGGAATGCCTCTCAATTTTCCCGTATTTGACCTTTTTGACTACCCAGTTTCTGGTTTTTACTTCTTCAGTTGTGGTTATTTCTCACCTTCCCACCTATGATACGAGTCTTTAAATGTTTGTTCCCTGAATATTTGTGGTACGTATGTAGGTTTGAATGTCCCCTTCCTCGATTGTGACATACTTTTAAGCATTTGATAAAAGCTATGGATGGTCTTCCCCCAAAAAGGCACATGAAGTCTTGGCCTACATTTTTAGATTCAGACTTCAGCATTTCTTCCATGACATTATTCATACAACGTATGAATGTGTTTTATCTCTCGCAAATCATAAATGTTTGTCTCAAATCTAGTGGACACCAGTTTTCTCACTGGACCTCCCCACTGCATTTACCACAAATCTCTTTCAATTTTTATTCACTTTAGTCTTTAAAAACGAAGACCAGCCTTGGATGCAGATGGGATATCGCCTCTGTTAAAAAATTTCTGGTGGCTCCTGTGGTTGTCAGTGTATAGCAAACACATGAAGTGTTTTCAAGCCTTCACATTTGCTGCTCAATCTTTATAGATACCCTTGCCTCCTACCAATGTGGACTCTAGTTTGCCCTCAGATTCCACCACCTCTACATACCAAGTCTTCCTTAACCAACCTTCAGATAGTTTGGTGTGCCTGTTATCTTAGGGTATTTTTGTAAATTGCAGAAATAGTATGAAATGAAGTGAAACAAAGCTAGGTTCACATTCTTGTTCTACAACTTCATAAATGAAGGATTCAATCTGTAAAGTGAGAATACTATCTACTATTTAGAATTATTTGTAAGCATCAGAGTAAATATATATAAAGAGTTTGCAAATGCCTACCGTATAGTAAGTGCTGAACACTGACTTTTGTTCTTTTATAATAGCCTATCTCCTCCAGTAGATGGCAGAAAAGATTAACCTTGCATCTCAGAGTGCCCAGCTCACAGCAAGTGCCTTATTCATGTGTTCAAGAACAGAGTGATGATAGACAGGAAAAGGAAATCACTTTCTGAAGGCACTCAGGAAATAAACAGATACAAACTGGAGTTTCTTCATCATTCTATTTATTACATGTATGAATATTAACATCTCATGGCATCCATCTAATTCAGTCAAAACCAACAAAGGAAAAAAGGTTAACCATGTTTCAAATTAACATTCTTACAGATTCCCCTGTAACTTAAAATAGAAATAATGTTCATCTGCATTAAATTGACAAATCTGAAAATTGTCGTTAAAAAAAAAAATCACCTTTAGTACTTAAATATATTTGTTAATCTTTCGATGGCATCAGTGTCCAAGAATAAGTTGCTTCATTAGGTACTTTTCAAAAATGGACATCTGGATGGTTCTCTATAGCTGGAGATAGATAGATAGATATGCAAATATGTCCTATTTTGTTTAAAAAAATTTTTTTAAATCTGCCTTTTCAATTTGAGAAAAGTCCTGCAGTGCTGTCATCACAACCCCCTTTTGAAAGATAAAAGTAATTCAGACTTTGCTTTAATCATGGGAAGCTGCTGGAAAAAAATCTTATGTTGAGGTTGCTGTTTAATTCTATTTTCACCCAATAAAAAGTACAGAAACACTGTCTTTATTTGATGGTGTGCATAAATATTACACTCCATGGATAGCAAAAATATTTTTTTATTTATAATTTACAGTTTCACAAGTGAAAATCGTACATTTTTACACATACAATTTCATTTTGTTAAATTTGCACACATCTACAGAACTTTCACACGACAAGCACCTGAAACTGTGCAGGCAGTAGGAAATGCAAATACTAAAATGTATTTATTAACCAAATGATAGCTGAAGGCCCTGCCTCAGCTAGACAATTTATATAGATATGTCTATATATACATAAAAAATTCTTCACCTTCTAGATTTCAACAGCAGCTTTTTTTTTAAAAAAAGAAAAACATACCTTTCTCATTTTATTTAAACTGACTCGACTGTATCATTTTCTGTTTTAATTTCAGTGGCTGTTGCTATGCTTTCCTCTGTGCAAGCTGGTGGAGTATCAATTCGTTCTTCCTTAACTTTGGGACTTTCACAGGGTTCCTGCAATTCGTTTTTGACAATGTTCAACATAATGTTCAAGGGATTTTCAACTGGTGTCTTGCTGGGAGATGGTGTACAATCAAATGAAGATGTCTACAAAATGAAAAACCCTTTAAGTACTGACAGATATCACATTAAATGGCATTTAGTTTTATAAGACCCTTTTATGGGCAAAGGAACATACCAAATGCAATTTGAAAACCCTGCTTTCCTGCAAAACATGCCATAAAGGCAGCCAATTAGACTATATACTGAGCACTTGGTATCTACTCCAGTAATGAGATAAGGTAAGAAAAGCAGTCACCAATATAAGGCCAAAAGAAGTTGGTTAAATGACTAGACATGTTTCTGTGTTTTAACCCCACTATAACCCCCCTACATATAACCTGGGATTTGTGACTCCTACTCTCAAATACTCTGATGATTTTTTTTAAATCCCCCCAAACCATCAAAACATCCTGTAAAATCTAATCTTTTGATGACCTAAGTATATCTTCCAAACTGCCCCTTGAAGCTGTGAAACAAATATTCCCTGAGAGTGAATATGTTTCACTGTTTAGTTTTAAAAAAAAAGGTCACTACAAATATGAAAATTTTAACTTCTAAGGTCAATACACTGATGTCTTTTCATAATTCACATATGATAATTTTTATTCCTATATTACACGGCTGAGTGGGGTATGTGACAAAACTAAATGTGACCCATAACTTGTACAAAATTATTACCATCATGAGCCTTCTCATTTTTAGTCTTCCTCACATTTCTCTAGGCCTAATACTCTAGTAAGATCATCAAGATTCAAACGAAAAGAATGCAAGGAAAATGACACAAAATCTCAACAGACCATATCAATCTATCACCAATATTTAGTGAACAACCTAAATGCTCCATCAAGTCTAACAGCTCAATCTAACAGCTCAACATATCAAGATTAAAATAACAATGTTGAGATGCAAAAAATAAAATTTATCAATGTAAATGAGAACAAAGAGTAACCAAAAAGAACTTACATTTTGATAATCTTCATAACATGATGGATGATAAATCTGAAGCAAAAACAAAAAAAGTTAAGTATTCACATGCATGCCTACTCCATTTCTAATGGACTATTCTGACAAAATTTTCTAACTTTAAACCAGAAGGTAAACTATCTTTGGAAAGACGAAGAAAATCATTTGGTCAGAAAAACAGATAAAAACAAAATTTTCATTCTGATATTTCTTAAAGCTTCCTTTATATATTTAGTTAACATGGTAAACTACTTAATATATGAGTTTTGATGATGAAATATAAATTCAGATCAAAATAGTGTGATTAAGCAGAAGATTAGCTAGACTCAGAAGACCTACTGCTGGATTTATCATTAACTAGTTAGGCAACCTCTTTCATAAAATGAGTACAAGACCAGATAATTGGTAAAATGCCTTCCATATCAAATACTGTGACTCCCAAAAGTCCAATACTTTAGAAATACTGCTTTTATTAAAAACCATAAAGCAAAAACAATTTTCTTTCAAAGTAGAACTACCCCTACAAAATTAAAATTTTTTAAATCTTAACACTTCCTTATAAAGTACGTCATAAAGAGGTGAAAATTACCTTTCCATCTACTCTAATAGCATTTTTTAAATGCCATTCCTCCTCCTCTTCATCCCAGTACTGTTCAAACTGCTCTTGACAGATTTCACAACTCTAAAAATAGAATCATATAAAAATGAAGTTTATGTAACAACACATTTAGTCCCATTGAGTAGAAATAAGCAAACATTTTGTTACATGGAGAAAAGAATTCAAGAGTTTTCTGAAAATTTAAACAGCTTTCAAATACATAATACAAAATAAGACCTAAGAATTTTGCATTCTTCCATGCAAAAATAGTTAACATTTCACTGCCCTTGGTCACTAATAAATATGCAGTAACTACAGTGGTTATAAAATACAAACCAAAACTCAAAAACACTGAAGAATAAAGCTTACAAGAAATCTTAAAATCATTAAAAGAGATGTAAATAAAGTTATATGTTATTTACTTGAAGTGAAAGGCATGACCAGAGACAGAAAATTTAATGTTTTCCTTTTACCTCAACTGATCCTGCTGGTCCAGCTGGTACACTTTGGAACTCCTTTTCTTTAGCAGCCTCCTGAGTTTTGAGTACAACTTCTTCGTGTACTTTTTCAAAAAACTGGCTCTTTGCACGTTCTTCCAGATCAGCTATTTCCTCAAATTCTATCCAGTCCTTAAAGTTAATTTAAAAAGATTATATTCATGTGTTTCTAAATTCTTACTGAACACCTTCAGTATAATGCCATTTCAATATAAGAAGTTCATTCTTCTACAATAGACTTTAATATTATTTAAAATTTTGTCATCTCTATGAGTCCCATAACTAATAGACAACATAAAGCAACTAATGAACAACTAAGATCTTAATATCAACATTCCACTACCTCTACAGTTACAACTACTTATGCAAGTAAGATAAATTTCGTTTACAATTTACCAAAAAAAAAAAAATCAGTCATGGAACCTTGGAATTTCAGAGCTAGAACAACCCTGTGTTCTACTCTAATACAAGCAAATACATACTCTTCAAAAAAAATTTTTTTAATTAAAAAGACATTTTATATTCTAGGGGTCAAATTTTATTCAAAAAATTCACTAGTACTCATCAATTACTTAATTTACTTTTAGAATGATATAATTTAAAGGTTAAGAGTTCAGAGGCACATGGCTTACTTACTGTTAAACTGTAGTACCAACGCCTGTGAGTGACTTTTCTGCTTACATCTTTTTCAGTTCTATTTTGTCGATAATGCCAGTCCAAGTGATCTGCATATACATCTGTCTGTGATGTTGTAAACCTCATTCCACAGGAATAACACTGAATACCAGTGTACAGTCGATTTATAACACTATCATAACGTCTATTTTGAAAAATAGAGAAATAATCTTTAGTTTTGATAACATGGCTTAAATGGCCTTTAAAAAAAAAAGGCAGTTATAAGTACTTCAATTTTCTACATTTTAATAATGGTGAAACCATTATTATGTGACAAAATAACATTTCAGTCAAGAGCTGGTTGAGACTTACTATCCAAAGATCAATAAATCACTGTCTTTACCTTACCTTTGGTTAAATTTTGGAACATGGAGTCTACCCTCTTATCAACAGACCTGGTTCAGTTACTATTTCCCTCTAGCAAATAATGGAATGGTCACTGGCCCGCTAATAAGGCAATACTTGGCCTATTCTTCGATTAATGTCAGTATCAAGGTGGATATGGCAGAACAATTCAAATTCATCTTTCCAGAACTTCAGTTCTGAATTACTCAACTGTTCCCCCCCCCCCCCCCCCCCCGGCCCAACAAAAGGGGAAGAAAAAAAAGGGGGGGGAAAAAAAAATTTTTTTTTTTTTTTTTTTTTTTAATTTTTATTAATCCCCCCCCCCCCCCCCCCCCCCCCCCCCCCTCCGGGTCTAAAGAATAGGGAAAGAGAAACTGAGGTCAGCAATAATCAGTTTGGTTTTTTTAAATTCTGGGCTCCCTACTTAGAAAGAAATAGGAATGCAGAACAAGTAAGTGAACAAACAGGCCATTAAGAACTCCAGAAAAGTTTTTAAAGTAATAGAATAAAGCAAAGCATAGTACACTAGTATTCTGTATACCAGAAAACAGAATATTTAGAGGATAATATTACTACTGAATAAATTAATGAGAAATGGTTTTATAACTATATAGAGGAGAGCTGGTAGGACAATGGAAGAGCCAACTAAGTCTCCACTTACAGGAAGTCAAGAAATTGTCTAAATGGGATAAATCAAGAAATGTAATAAATCAGAAGTTCTATTTTTTTTTATGAAGTGCTCTTAACATAATGGATCTAATAAAGCAACTGTAAATGATTTTATGTAAGTAATACAGGCAAAAAAATGAAAATATATGCATCAAATGTTAACACTGGCTATCAGTAAAGTGAGAACTGTAGGTAACTTTATTTTCTTGATTTCTGTAAAATGAAAAGTTTTAATATGTTAAATATCAGCCTATAAAAATCTCATTTTCTTAACTTCAAAAGCATGAAGGATAGCAGTAAAGAAAAAAAGTTATGATTAGTATAAAGGTAAAGAAGGACATGAGTGACTTACTAATACCTAATACTCAATCTCCTTATACTTGCT